GCAATTTGGGGATATTCCACTTTCTTTTCAGGGCAGAATGTTTATCATTTCAATTCAAGTTGTCAAAACAGATGAGGGGAACCATCCAAGGTTCATGTCCTGTGGAAAGCTATTGCTGGGTGCAGGAATTGGATCTAAAAGAAGGCGCGCCTGCTCCCTCATGACTGTTGCCTCGATCTGAGTAACTCCATCCAACAGGAGAGTGTGCTGTTCCCCCGCAGGTTGCAAACTGGGAGAATTGAAATAAGATTCCATCAGCCTTATTAAAATATGCGAGGGCTTGGGTCTTCTTGGGTACCAATCAGTCTAGAGACTTAGAAGCATTTATTAGCAGTGGGGCTGCTGAAGGTTTTTAATGATAAAATTACAAATATTCTAGCTAATTGTAAGTATATGACTTTTATACTCATTTTTTAAAGAGGAAAAATACTTTTTTTTAATGAGGGGAAAGAAGTGAAGCCGTCAGAGCACCTTCTGTGATTAGCACTATTGTATTCTTAAATTTTGATTGATAGAGATAATAGTTTTCACGTAAAAATACAGACAGGTACTTTAACTTTCCATGACAATAGCTATTTGCATTTCTTTTATCTTTTTGTTTAACATTTGTGGGGGTTGGGATGGATTTGATTATTAACTCTTATTGCACACTGAAGGCGAATCTAAAACAAAGGCTTTGTTAGCGTTTCAAAGGCAAAACAGCAAATATTGTTTTTGGTTTTCAACTTGTACAGGTTGTTAAAGGATACCTATAAAATATTTTCACATGACCATGACCAGGGTTTTACTTGAGTGGAAGGTAAAAGAGAATGAGTTTTCCAAATGAGACAGGCCCCTGGCTGTAGTTTTCCTGGGGGAATGCCAGCCTAGAGTTATTTCTTGGCCTATCCTTTGGGTTGCCTGTAGCACATGGTTGCACTGTGTGCAGTGTTTCTAGTTTTGTCTTCCAGAACAGGTCCCCAAAGTTAGACTCTGTAATGTGTCCCAGAGAGAGAGAAAGGGCAGTAAAATGTTCCTCCCAGGGACAGGAGGGGTTTTGGACAGTGATGTGGAGTGCTTGTGTGTGGCAGGTCATTTCTTTGATAGAGACCAGTAAAGGAAGTGGAGCGTTTATAAGCCAACTGCCATGGGTGTGTCTCTGGCCACCCCTGGCTGCAGACTGCCTGGATGCACAGAGCTTCATGTCCCAAGTCCTTCCTTCCTCCTTTCCCTTTTCTTTCTCCCCTCTGCCCCCCCCCAGTTTTCTTTGTCTTTCTGCCTTCCCTCCTTTGAATTTTTGTTAAATCTGACTCAACAATTGAAGTTCCAGAGAGCATAGGGACACACTCTGGGAGTGATTTCTAAGTGGATTGTTCTTAAGTGTAGAAAATAAAGTGACCCTTGTGTTCAATCAGTCAAACATGTGCCGATAGCCTTCTGTTTTCTAAGAAATCACTGGAAAATAAGACAGGAAAGCCAAAATGAGTTAAGATTGACGACTTAAAGAGGCAGTACTCCCTTGGAAACTGGCCCATTTGGACTTATTTTCTCAAGTGAAGTCTGTGCTGTTTAGCAGGAAGATGTGGGAGTGTGGACGTTTGAGCGGTGTTCTAGACTTCAGGAGTCCTTGTCCCTTGCACCTGCTAAGCTGCCCCTTTGTCACGTTGGCTCCCAGTGGCTTTCCCAGCCTGTGCTGGAAGGAGGCTAGAGAGAGATGTTGTTGGTCACCCTTCAGCATCAGATTGTGGTAACTGCATATTGTGAAAGAGAATGCAGGAGTAGTCGTTTATTGTAGCGACTGTGAAAGGAAAAGGGGGAACTACTTTGAATGTGAAAACTAGAAGGTATGCTGTTACTTTCCAACCCTGTGAAGCAGGGTCTCACCGGCTAACTAGTGTTTCAGCTCCAAGGAGCTCATGCCAATTGGCAGTTGGCATTACATATCTCACGGATGCAGTGAGGGACAAAACTCGGGGTGCAGCCTGGATACAGGATGGCAACCACAGGGCACCGCAGTGAACTTCTAGTGGAGGAGGGAGGACGGGGGAAGCAGAGAAAGAGGAAGCACTTGAAATGCTGGGTTTCCAACCCTACAGGTGGCAGGTGACACGTGGGGTCCAGCACACCCTCTGTGGTCACCTGGTATATCCAGGTAAATAACAGCACTGTCGTGAAGAGGCCTTGGAAAATTCTAGTTCGGGGATCTTTACTGTGAAAGAAAATGAATGCCAGGAAGGGAAAGAATTTCTGTTTACCATATGCCTGGCTCACTTTTAACACATAAAATCACTAGGGAAGTTTTTAAAAAGAGAGAAAAAGAAAACAACATAGCATCTGTGTGGTGGCAGCCTTTTAAAACAAGGAGACAAGAGGGTTGGAGGGGAATATATTTCGTGTGTGTGTGTGTGTGTGTGTGTGTGTGTGTGTGTGTGTGTTAACTTAAAAGCTTTACACAATGGTTTAATTTGAGCTCTGCTGTTTGTGCTGGGACAGACAGGTAAATAGTCACTTGACTTGATCATTGAAAGTACACAGTTTTAGAAATGGAAGTTTATGCTCTGGGAAAAAGCAAGTTGCATCTTTTTCACCAGAGCTGTTGATTTCTGATTCTCCTAAGCATGTAATGATACAAGCTCGGGCCTCAGTTCTAACCCCTCATTTTCTCGTCTTCTGTATTGACACATTTCATTCAATTCCACATGATGGCAAACAGCTGTTGAACTACTAATCTTTCTGCAGCAAAACTTAGGAAATACCATTTCAGATGACATTGCTAATGGATGCCTTTTTCTAAAAAGTGAAATCAACAGAAATAAATTAATGAGTGGTCAGATGTGCGTGTGCATTAAAATTTATGGGATGTATTTTACATCTTACTGACAATACTTGATGCATAAGCGAAAATGAAACGGAGCCGGTTTTGCACCGCCCGGGTCTGCATGTGGTAGAATGTCAGTTGTATCATCGTGCTGTTCCCCACTCTTATGCTTTTATTTCCCCAGAGGGAAAATTACACTCACGTCCTGAGGGTCAGCCAGTGTCTGGTTTAGCCTCCACTGGCTTATGAACTGTGCCTCTTAGGCAGTTGCTGCACAGACAGGCCTTGGGTTTACCTGGAATTGTTCTGCGGGTGCAGAAGCAGCACTAGAGAAAGATAACTTTATTCAAAGTGGGCCTTTCAGCAGTTTTCTTTGGAAATTAAATTTTAATGAGGTCCAGTTGTTTGCCTTGCCTATATGATAGCGAATCTCATCTGCATTGCAAAGTCTAATACTATAGGCCCTTCTGCCAAACATGCAAAAATAGACCCAGCTCAATAGATAAACATATAAATTAGTTTAAAGCTCATGCAGTGAAGAAAGTCTCCAGGAATGGGGAGGGAGAAAGGGGCCTTCTTGCTTTGAATTGAACAGGGTCTGCCAAAGTTCACTCACTTTGTATTTAAGATGGGATGAGTGCTAGACTTGCAGCTGAGTGGTCAAGCACTTACCTGGCAGCTGAGTGGTCAAGCGCTTACCTGGCAGCTGAGTGGTCAAGCGCTTACCTGGCATTTGAGGAACCCTGAGTGTTGTCCCTAGGTCTGCAAATGGCAGCACAACTTTAAACGTTTTGATTTTTTTTCTGTTAAATGTATGTGCCTTGGGTGGAATGGGGTTATTACCTCACGGACGCTGAGCTGCCTTGAACACTTGATGGCTGTTGCCCTTTCTTATCCCTGTTCACTATGAAGCAAGAAGGCAATCCTAAGGCCAGACATCAGCAGGAGAGCACATGATTTTCATTTTCAGTTTGAATTGTTTTGTGTAAAAACAAAAAAGGTTTGGGTGCAAGTTGCAGGGCGGTTGCTTTAAACCCCTGTGCTAGGGTTTTCCCCCACCCAAAAGGTAAAGATTTATGGTGAAAACCTCCAATTTCCTCTTACAGTAAACATGAGAATTCTGATCTCACTCACAGCCTGTATCTTTTTTTCCAGTCGGCATAGCAAGAATCTGTATACCCTCGATTGTGGAAATGTAAGAGGTTGGCATGTAAGTGCTACTCCCTAGCCTTAGCGAAGGGAGATGGCTTTGCCTTTCTCATCCAGAGCTGACAGCAGAGGGTGGGCGGGGTGGTATTCCATTCTGTATTGTTCTGGGCAGTAAGCAAAAGGCTATTAGCATGTTAGTAAAGTGATAGGATCTCACCGCTCTGTATTCTCATGTATCGTCAGTGAGGTGGGATGAACCCCGCACCCTCACCAACATGATCTAAATTAATAAACTCATGTTTGTCTGTTTCTCTCATGCCATGTGCTGATTCCAGTTCCATGGACAGGAAGAGGCAGTTTCTGACATTTCTTAAAAGGCACACACGAGTTTTGCTGAGGGGCTGTGGAGATGCAGAGGAGATATGGGTTGAAATGTGTTCCTCGATTTCTTTGTGTTTTAGGAAGCTTGATTTCATTTGTTTATTTCATGTGACATGAACCATTTTTATCTAATGTAGTGGATCTGGTAGATATAGGTGCTAAGTGCAAAATGTTCTGCGAACAGCTTTCATCAGCAATTAACCCCTTGCCCCTCCCCAAGTAGAAAATGGTGCCTTTAAAAAATTATTTTGAAAGGTTCAGAATGACAGAAAGCATGGTATCTGCAAGTGCATGCTCAGTTTCAAAGAAAAAAAAAAAGAATGAAATTGGAAATATTGTGGGTATGAACCAAACACACACATTCAAGTAACAGTCTGGTTTCCCAAAACAGAGGCCTATGAGTCATGTATAATTCCACTCGAAAAATGAATTAATAGATGGCAAGACAAGAAAAAGTTCTCATGAAAAGTCGGAAGTGTTCCGCCTTCATTTTTCCTGGCCCTGTTGGGTTTATGGTCTTATAGTGAAGATCCTAGCCCTGTCTCTGTAAACGGGGAAGTCTCCAGGGTGTACAGTTAAACTGCTGACCTTTTGCTGTGTGGATGCTGGACATTCATTGTGAGACTTCCCTTGCCATTCAGATTGTCATGTGTTGATTTTGTTTTGTTTTTAGGGTGAGAAGTGACCTTTTGAGGTGACTATAACTGAAGATTGAATTACAGAAGCAAAAAAAAAAAAAAAGGTAAAACTCATATGTAATTGCTACATTTGTATCTAAAACTATTTCAACCCTTGAGGCCTGGGATTTGGGTACTTACTTTTCTGTAGCTGACATGAACATGTATATAAACATGTGTATAAATGTACATGTATGGCATGTGGGCAGAAGCCTTAAAAGAGTAAATATTTCTCTTAAAGGAACAGCCTATCCATGTTCTTTGTTCCCCCAAATAATATCATACTTTCCCCAGTTTGTTGAAGCTGAACCTCAATTAATTTTTGCTCATGTGTTTTGTGGGCTTAAATCGAGAAAGGAATATTCACATCAAAGCGGTGATTCATAAAAGTAACTTGCCCCAGACGTGAGGAACATGTGTCAGTGCTCTGTGCCTAAGTGATGGCATCCTATTGATGCTCATCTGCTGCCTGTCTAATCACCTTCTTTCAGGAATTAATAGTCAGGAACCATAGCAACAGGCCACACTGGTGTCACTCCTTAACAGTGTGGGGCACAGCCCTGGATGTCAGCCCTATGCTGTCTTATTTTCTTGACCTTGTTTGGAAATCAAACGATGACTTGGTTTTAAAATTCCGAGTTTTCAAAGAGCCCAGTGTGGTTTGATGAATGAAGGCCAAATTTCATTTCCTGAAATTCATGTTTTTGAGGGAGCAGATGAAATACTCGCGTTAAGTGCCCGTGTATGCCTGGTGTTTGCTTGCATTCCAGAGCATCTCAGAGTTAAGCCTGTGACCTTCCCACTGGAGGGAATTTGCAGCTTCTTTCAGTCTAGGAAATATAAGTTATTTTTAGGTGTCCATTTATTTATTTAAGTTTTAATAAAGTATATGTTGTGTTTTTGGTGAACCCTCCTAGTGCCCCTTTATGTTCCTTTTTCTTGAGTTGAACTAGCCTTTCCATCTCATGTTTTAATATTGACCTTCAGGAGTCCCATTTGATTCAGTAGGTTTGAAGTACGTTGCTTTGTGTCCTCTTTGAATCCTGTCTTTGCTCAGCTTTGCTGTCTTGTTTAGTGTGTTTATACGAGACATTTTAGAACCTTGATCAGTTTTGTCTTTAATCTCACTTGGGGTCTTTGGTTCTAAAATGCATCATGGTGTGACTAGATTTGTTAGTTGTTTCTGGTATATTTGATTTTGGGCCCAGCAATTCAGACTTGCCTTGTTACATTATCTGTGTTCTTTTTGGGAAACACTGGACTAATGTCCAGAGGTGCCTCATGTTCCCTCAGATGTTCCAGCATGGAAGGGAGTGATTCTGATCAGCATGTGGGGTTGTCAGCCACGCTGAAATGCGTAAAAAGGAAGGCTTCCCTTGCCTGAGACTCAGTTTGGGGCTTTCTGCCAAGTACTGTCTAGTAAATGTTTCCTGCTTTGGGGTCACTGAGACCTCTGTCTCAGCCTCTCTTCACTCTGAGTGCTGTCACCTCTAGAATAGATCTTAACCCAGGATGCTCTGCAGGCCTTTAATTCTTCTCGTGCTGTTAGAAACAGGAAAAGCTGAGAACTGGGATTCATCAACGCTAACAGAAAGTTCAGAAGAAAACTTCATGAGGCATGGTGGCACATGCCAACACTGTACATGCAGAGACAGACAGATTTCTGTGCATTCAATGCCAGCCCTGGCTACACAGTGAGAGCCTATGTCAAAAAAAAAAAAAAAAAAAAAAAAAAAGAAAAAAAGAAAGAAAGAAAGGAAGAAAGAAAGAAAGAAAAAGAAAGAAAAGGTACTGTGAGGCCTGGGGCGGGGCTCTATCTAGTGAAGTGTTTGCTTAGCATTCCTGAGGCCCTGGGTTCAATTTCCATAGATTTAACAAACAAGCAAAAAAAAATTACAAATTTCTGCTTGAGACTTGCCTTCTCCACAAAGGAGCTTCATGTGTGGCTTTTCAGTACCCTGCAAGCATGAATGATTTGTCCCTCAAGCTTTAGAGTATCATCGGATGTATGGGACAAAGGGAGCTTTGCAGGATAGGTATGTCTGTCTATCCTAATGACAGACTGATCCAGGTGAAGAGCATATTCTGTTGCATCACTCACCATCCTGTAAATAATCCCCTTTTATAGAGAATTCTTTAGATCCTAAAAATATTTTGTTTTGTGACATGTCCTTTCATGAAACAAAGAAAGCTGGTTGGCACATTTATATAATTTCTCTCCTTGACTAGATTTCTTGGGACTAAGTGTAAGAATTTTTCTTAGGGCCTGAAAAGATGGCTCAGAGGGTAGAAACAGACTGTTCTTCCAGGGGACCCGGGTTCAATTCCCAGCACCCACATGACAGCTTACAACTGTATATAACTAAAATTCCAGTGGATCTGAAACCCTCACACAGACATACATCAAGGCAAAACACCAGTGTACATTAAAAAAATAAATAAATTTTGCTTAACTCCCCCCATTTCTGCTTTTGTTAGCTTGGTTCTTGTTCCTTATATGTAGCCTTCATTTTTATTTTCAATAAACCTTCTGTTATATGACATTTTTCTGGTTCTACAGTATTGTTTCCATCTTTCTTTTGACCCCAAATTTACCTTTAGACAGGGGCAGAGATCTTTCAAAGACAAATTCATACATATATGTATGTGTATACATATGTGTAACACTTGTGCGGTTTACTTTATGTAAAAGTAAACCGGATTTTTAAAATGTAGCATTGTGCTACTTAGTTCTGTATGAACTTGAGGTGAAGAATACACACATATACAACACACTCACACACACACACATTGTGTGTGCATGGATGCAGATGTGTATGTTTGGTGTGCGCATGTGTATATAGTTCTGAGTATTTGTTTGAAGGCTAGATGTCAGCATGGGGCACTTCACCATCCACCTGATTTTCTGAAAAGGCATCTGTCACTGAACATGGAGCTTACCCATTAGTCTAGACTGTCTGTCCCATGAGCCTCAAGGATCCTTCTCTGGGTGACCCCAATGTGCTGGGGTTATCACTTATACTACCATGCCCACATAATTGTCTTCAAATGTTAACATCCTCAAGCTTCATCGTTGATGTAGCACTCCAGCTTCTTTTTGAAAGATCAACTTATTTGTGAGAAAGTTTTAAAAAAATCTCAAGGAAAGTACAATTACAGTAATTTTTCTCCTACCCCAATCTGAGCTTTTTTTTTTCTTTCTAAATGTTAAATGAAGGTGCTATGGTGCATATTCACAGTTTGCATTCATTGTGTCTTGCATAGTATGGATGATTTCTTAAAGATTTAAAATGCTTTTCGGCTAATTGAAATGTATTAGTTCTTTTAAAAGTGTGTACTTGTGTGACTCCAGCATTTTTTTAACAGCAGAACCCTTCTCAGTTGCTCGATTCAAGTGATCTTTGGGCTTTTTTGTTGTTGTTGTTGTTTCAATTGTCACTTTATTGCAAGATGGCATAATTCATTACAAATTTAAAATACAACTTGGTAATTTTAGTTGGGCAACAGGTTGGTACAAATTACTTTTACAAATACTGAACAACTCGAAATGCAACATAAGGTTCAGAAATATCTGGCTGGGCAGCATTGGATAGGTAGGCATGATGGTGCAGGCCTGTCTTGCCAGCATTAGGTAAGTAGAGGCAGGAAGATCAATAGCAGTGCAAGGCCAACTTTGCCAACATAACAACTTGGAGACTAGCCTGGGTTACATGAGACCTTGATTAAAAAGGAAAGACTAAAGAAAGCATTCAGCATTTAAATTATCTTCACTGAAAAGCTAGATGACTCCACTGGCTCAAATATGATCAACCAGCCACCTGAGCTAGCCATTGAACTACTCTTTGTCTAGATACTCTGCATACCCTTGTCTGGGTTATAAAGATCAAGACTGCAATCTACGCTGCTGCCTTTAGTGTTTGAAATCAAATAGTCACTGCCTTTGGTTATGCAGCAATCCAGCTAGTCTAGTTTGGCCAGGGAGGTCCTTTGTGTCCTCTTTCTCTCTGCCCCTGGGGCTCTCTCCTTATCTGTGTGCCTGAAGCTAAGTTGTTGCCACAACAAGGGGAAGCCCAAACTACTCCATTTTCTTTGAAGCAAAAGTTGCTCACATGACACCTCTTGAGTGTAGTTGGTGAGATTAGGGAAGGGCTCCCTCGGGTTTCAAGGGCTGCTGGGAAATATTTTTGAGTGAAGAGAATACTGGAAAGACCTGAGTAAATATAAGAGGTCAGACTATCCTTAACTTCTTAATGGAGTGAGTCACTCCAATTGAAACCTCCCTCTGTCTTTTCTTCCTTCCCTCCCTCCTTCTGCTTCTCCTTTCCTTCCTTCCTTCCTTCCTTCCTTCCTTCCTTCCTTCCTTCCTTCCTTCCTTCCTTCCTTCCTTCCTTCCTCCCTCCCTCCCCCCCCTCCCTCCCTCCCTCCCTCCCTTCCTTCCTTCCTTCCTTCCTCCCTTCCTTCCTCCTTCCATCCTTCCTTCCTTCTCTCATTAATTCATGTAGCTGTACCTGTGTACACACATAAATTGTTAGCACAGATCTCTATTAAGAGTTCTTCGCTGTATTCTCAGAGCATAGTTCTACCCGAGAAGATGTAGTCTCTGTCCTCACAGGGTTTATATTACAGAGAGAAGACAGACTCAATTGCTAATAATGACTGTTAGAAAGGTTAACTGTGGTTGCTGTTTGAAAGTGACCCAGAGCAAGGAACAGAGGGTACTCAGTGATGTGTTTCAGCCCAATACAGAAGTGTGAGGTAGACTTTCTTGTACTTTCCACAATGACTCTGTTCTAAATTATTAGGCAGCTTAGTGTTTCATATTCCGATTTCTTGAATTTATAATTAACTCATAGTTTGATTCACTCATCTAAAGTGTGTTTGCTGTCCAGGTGCTGTGGGTGTTTAGTTTGCTGCCTACCACCCACACCAGGTACCATTTCATCAATCAAGAGGAAAGTCTTCGCATCAAGTAGCAGCCATTCTCTATTCTGTCCTCTGTTTAACCTAATGATAGGCATTACTCTGCATTCTGTTCCAATAGCTTTGCTTACTTTAGGTGTGAATG